AATGCATACTTTCAAGAAGAAACTACCACATTGATAATTGTTAACTGCGCGCCTTAAAGGACTAGGACAAAAATTGAAAACTAAATTGGAAGCTGGCAGAAAGAAAGGCGTGAAAGACAGAAGTCGGGATGAATGATGGAAGATAAAAACAGAGAGAAGAATCAAGGAAAGGAACTGTTTTCAGAAAGGACCAGAAGGCTGATCAAACTTTAGCCAGATTGCTCCTCCCATCCCTGCAGTCCACACTCCAGTCCTGTCATGAGACAGGAACCCCCAACTCTCACCCCTAACTCCTCTGCCCTGAGACCTGCCTGAGGACCAAGGATCGTGTGCTTGGAACCCTTTACAGGACTCTAGAGAGGAACACAGACCTTCAAACACACCTGATGCCTGCAGAGACCTATGTCAAGTTCTCTCCCGTGGGTCTTGACATTTCAAAACTTTGGGTGGAAGTTTAGTAGTTTGATGAAGTCCCATTGTTTACAATCCTTTACTTGACTTTTGTTGGCTGTGCTTTTGGTACCATATCCTGGTGAACCCCCATTCTCTACCCTGAACCCAATGCCAGGGATCTTTTTCCTTATGATTTTCCCCCTAGGCACTTTATGGTTCCAGTACTTTCCACTGAAGAAATGATTCTATGCCCACCGAGTGTTCTTCATGTGTTTATCAGAGATGAACTGGGCACATAAATGTTGGTTCATGTCTAGGCACTTCCTTCTGTATTATTGATCGTCTTTTATACTAGTAGCACACTGTCCCAATTACTATAGCTTTGTAATACAGTTTGAGATCAGGTGATATAACGCCCCCAACTTATTTGATTTTCTCAAAATTGCTTTAGATTTTTTTGGGTCTACTATAGCTTAGTTTCATGAGAACTTTAGGGTTTATTTCCCTGCTACTGTGAAAAATTATTGGAACCTCATAGAAATTACATTGAATGTCTGGATTGCTTGAACAGTATAGACATTTTGATAATACTAATTATTCTATTCCATAAACATGAGATAGTTTTCAGTTATGTGTTATTTTCTATTTCATTAATTAACATTCATAATTTAGAGTGTATAGATTTTTTTACCTCTTTGATTAAATTTATTCAAAAAATACTTTATTCTTTTTGATTCATTATGTGATTATTTTCTTAATTTCTTTTAAAGATAATTTGTGAATGTTGATTTTATGTTCTGTAACTTTATTGATTCATTCCTTAAACTGAGTATTGAAAGAAGAATTAACACGACATTCTCCACACAGTTGAATAGGAGAGAACTTGTGTAACTAATTTTTTAGGATTGAAAATCTCTGCAAAGAAACCAGAAGACTCTATATAAGAAAAGAAAATTACAGGCAAATATTGTGGTGAACACATTAATAGGTGCAAAAGTTCTCAACAAAATAGAAGAGGATGAATTCAGCATCACATTAAATGGCTTACATAAGGACAGTTCAACATATACTATCAACAAATGTGATATGCAAGTCTGTGTCTTCATGTTCAATGAAGCATTATTAACAGTGGTCAAAATGTACAAAGACCTAAATGTCTATTGATGAATTGAAAAGCAAATGTGATATATTTAGTGTGTATATATATACACATACACATATGCACACACACATAAAATGTAACATTTTTCAATCAGAAAGGAAAAATATCCTGTCACACATTGTAAGATAGGTGAACTTGAAGGTCATTTTGCTAAATGAAATGTTAGACAAATTAATACAAATAATTGATGGTCTTGCCTACCTACCTGCAGAATCCAAAAAGTCAAAACTCCAGAAGCAGAGAGAAAAGCAGTGGTAATCAGGACCAATGAATTGGAAATGGAAAGACATGTGTCAAAGGGTACCTGCTTTTAGTTATAAAATGAGTAAGTTCTTAGGTCTAATTTGGAGTAAGTTTTCTATAGTATGTTTGGAAAGCCTCTCTTGGAAGATACTTGTATGATCATTAATGAGGAAAAAATGAAAATTAAGTGACGAGTATGTTGTTCTGTCAAATGTGCAAAAGTTAAATGTGAAAACATGCTCAGAAGAGAGAGGGGCAGGAAATGTGCACTTTCACAAATGGGCAGTTTGGTAGTGTGTCAATTGAAACACTATTTCTTGAGATCGTGACTGTGAAGATATGAAGATTCTAGACATAGTTGATCTAGGAATGCATATGTTAAGGAATATACTTTTACTAACACATATGCTTATGGGTGCACTTGTGTGAGTGCCCGAGCAGTACACACACACACGCACATGCACACGCACACGCACACGCACACACACAGTAGCACTGTGACAGAAGTAGGGAATATTAGATGATGAAATAATAATTGCTACTATTGGGAACATCCATGTATTTGGGTTAAAGACATAAAAATAATGAATTGGTAACCAGGTACTATGTCCCTAGTGACCACAGCATTATGATAACTTATGGGGACTGGGAGATGGTTCAGTAGGTAAAGCACTTGCCATGCAAGCCTGAGCACCCAAATTCAAATCTGCAGAACCCATGTAAAGCTGTATGTAGTAGCACATGTCTGTAATCCCAGTGCTTTATGGTGAGATTGGAGGTGGAGACAGGAGAAAACCTTGGAGTTTGTGGGCCAACTAGCTTTGGGCATGCAGTGGTAAACAGAAGACCCTTTCAAACAAGGTCATAAGAGAGGATGGCCATTTGCGGTCTTCTTTTGATTGCCATACATTTACCAAGGCATGTACATACATGTAGACAACCCAACACACATAAACTGAAACATGAAAGTACAATTTAAGAAAGGACATGAGCATTATACAGACGATCACACAGGTAAAAAAGCCTAGAAGGAGACATTCTCAAATCACCAATACTTGGAGCTGAAGAAAGGACATGACACTAAGGTTTCATTTTCTTGTCTTGTGTCTGACAATTCATCAATGGGAAATGTAGCATTTGTAACAGTCATTTTGTATAAAAAGGTTTGATATCAAAGATGATCATGGCCTGGTGAGAAAAATACAGGGAAGTTATTATTCCTGATAGAGCAATCCAGCTAAATATGCCCGCAAAATAATAAACACAAAAATAAAGGCAAAATAATCCATACAAGTAACAGGAACAGGCTAAAAACATACAGTCTAGGGATTTCTGAGACAACAGAATTTCTGGGGTAAACTGTGTAGCAAAGGAAATAAGGATGGTCATTCTTCTCTCCTAAGAAAGCCCCAAAGAGAAGTTGATGAAGAAAGTTAAGCACACTCATGCTGGGACTGCTTTCAAATTGAATGATTTTTTTCCCCTTTATTTTTGAGATTATTGTCCAATTACATCATTTTCCTCTTCTCTTTCCTCCCTCTAAACTCTCTCATATATCCCCTCTCCCTGGCTCTCTTTTAAGTTCATGACCTCTCTTTTCATTAATGTTGTTACATATATGTATATGTATTGTGTAGTGGGTAGCCATTCCAGCTTTGATCTGGAAGTTCCAACCCGCATTGAGGCTTTGGTAACTGTCACACCTACAAGGAGGGGGAAAGAGAGGACCCTGAAGACCCGAGATCAAGATGTGCTGGCTCGCTTGGTTCCTGAACCCTGGATGCTGGAGGTAGATGGAGCAGAGTTCTCCAGAGAACACCGCTGGTCTGTGCTATGCCTTTCCCAGACTCTGTAAACTATCCATTCACTTGTAAGTTACCCCACAAAATAAACCTCTCTTTTAACTATGTGGAGTGGCCTTAATAATTTCACCAATAGTATTGTATATATATATTCATATATAAAAGTACACAGATGAACACATACATGTATATACATCCTTATCTATATACATGTGTGCACACACACACACCATATATTTGCACATATGTACATGAAAGTATAACCTTCTTGAGGTGATATATTGTATATCAAATAAAGCTTGCTTGAGGATCAGAGGACAGAGCCAGCCACTAGATTAAACACAGAAGCCAGGCAGTGGTGGCACACACATTTAATCCTAGCACTTGGGAGGCAGAGATCTGTCTGGATCTCTCTGAGTTCAAAGCTACCCTGGACTACATGAGATTGATTCAGTCTAGGAGAGAAACAGAGCCAGGCAGTGGTGGCACACACCTTTAATCCTAGTACTTGGGAGTCACACACCTTTAATCCTGGCACTTGAGATCTCATGCCTTTGCAATCAGTATTTGGGAAGCACACACACCTTTAATTCCAACACTAAAAAGAAAGTTAAATGACTGGGTAGAGAAAGGCATATAAAGTGTGAGGAGACAAGAACAAGAGAGTTTTTCGGCTGAGGACTCAGAGGCTTTCAGTCAGAGAATTCGTGGAGATAGGATCTCGTCTTCCATTTGGTCTGAGGATTTGGTAGTGGTGAGAAGTTTCTCTAGTGGCTTGTTCCTTTGTTTCTCTGATCTTTTAGCATTTACCCCAATATCTGGCTCTGGGTTTTTATTAAAATACTATTAGCATTTGTGCCAAACCTTCTAATTTGTGGCTTAAGAAAAACTAGCATGGAAATAAATGATAATTCTAAACAGTTATTAATGTGATTACATGAGGATGTAAAACTAATATCTTTGAAGAAAGGACTTATTTTATGCATATGTTTATTTTGCCTTCATGTGTCTGTTGCCTGCAAAGGCCAGAAGAGGGCATCAGTTCCTCTGGAGCTGGAGTTAAAGGTGGTTGTGAGCCTCCACAGGAACTAGGAATGGAACCCTGGTCATCTGCAAGAGCAGCTAGTGCTCTTAATGGCTGAGCCACTTCTGTGGCTCTGAATATGTAATATTTGAAATCATCAGTGTGGTTTCCAGCTTACAGTACACAAGTCAGACCGGGTCAAGTGAAGGGATGATGGGGACTTGACTATGTACAAACACGGTTGTGTTTTCAGTGATGAAAAACTCTTAAGAGATTAGTTTTATTTTTATGCTGAAACCAATCTTTAGAAGGCAGGGTAGAAGAATAGGAGCTCAGAGTAGGTATATGTTAGAAATCACTTTCCTGTCTTTTCTAGGAGTTTGACTGTACAACTGTTCTAATCTAATCCAATGGTTGGGTATCTTCTCTTTTCACAGGTAATTACAGTAGTTTATGTATCATATATTCAGTACTTTTGTTTCTAGAAGATTTACTAATTTAGATAAATGATAAAAACTATTTTAGATAAAAATAATCTATATGTACTTATGATTTGTTCTCAGTGAAAAAGTTGACTGGAAAAAGAGAACTAGAATATAGGGCTGTGGAATTTGGTTAGCCATTACTGTTTTATTATTCCTAGATCAACTCCTATGAAAGTTGTGTCTAACACCTGTACTCTCAACTGGAAGAGAAATAGACATTCAAAACATCCATAAAACAGTGATAAGCACAGGGGCCTTGTGGATGAGGCTTGTTTTTTCAGACTCATGGGGCCAAAGAGCAGATGTTTATGAATAGGGGTAGATTCAGGGATGGCTTTTAGACAAGCCTCCTGAATTCTACTGCTTTCCCAGGAGATGGATCTCTTGGGGGGAGGTAGTTCTGTTCTCCACAGATGTAAACTCCTGGCAGTGTTCTCAAACAATACAGAGAGCTGTTTTGTGGAGTTTGTTTAGAAGTTAGTATTACCTAGAGACATGTCATTCATAGTCAGCTGCTGGTATCCAAAGTTCCAGGACCCCATAGATGCTAAAATCCTAAAATCTCTTTCACAAAACAGCATAGAATTTGCATATAAAATTGCCTTTAAGCAATCTATGTAGATGACTTACAGTACCTGCAAATGTTACTTATATAATTGCTATATTCCATTGCTGAGGGAATTATAGCAATAAAATAAGTCTGTATAGTCTCAGTACAAATTCATTTCCCTTCCAAGTATTCTGTGCATCCACACTTGTATGTGTGAATCTGCATGTGGGTATGGGGGCACATGTTTAGGTGTGTATGTACATGAAACCCAGAGTTTGACACTGGATATCTTCTTCAATCACTTCACACTATAGTGTTTGACAGGGTCTCTCACTGAACTTGGAGCTCACTGATATAGCTTGGCTGGCTTGAGAGAAAGCCCCCAGCGCTTTCTCATTTCCCAGGGGCCCCCATTTCTACCCAGCTCTGTGCTCACAGCACTGGGATTACAGACATACCATGCCAGCTTTTCTGTGAGTGCTGGGGGTTCAAGTACCACTCCCTTTACTTACACAGCAGACACTTTACCCGGTGAGCCATTTTGCAGCCATAACCCTGAAGTATTTTTGATTTGTGGTTGAATTGGTTAGTTTTGGATGCTGTGGATTTGGATGTTGGCCAGCTGTCTTTTGAAGAGCAAAGACAATTCATCAATCCCATGGGCGACAAGTGACTCAGTTACATGAGAAAAGTCGCTCTTTTCAAGACGGCTAGTCATGAAAAAAAAAAAAAGTCCTGCATTATGAGACTCACATGTGCAGAAGGCTCTCCCACAGCAGGTGTCAGAGCCTGGCTTCAGCCCTGGGCTTCTCAGTGCCTTGTCAAAGCTACAGAACATCCCAGGCATCCTCAATTCCTGTTACTCTCTACTTTTTAAGGCTCTAAAGAGCACCACTGAGCTTATCCTAAAGTATGGTAGTTAGTGGCATGTATGTGTGGGTACATGTATGCATGCGTGTGTGTGTGTGTGTGTGTGTATGCTCATGCATATATGCATGCATGGGTCAACTCAAATCCTGATTTGACCATAAAGAGGCTATGTGATGAATGCTCATAAGCATACATTGAATCTCTCAGTTCTTCACTGTTCATATCTGCAAAAGGGCTATGACACAGAGGTGTGTGTGTGTGTGTGTGTGTGTGTGTGTGTGTGTGTGTGTGTGTGTTTGTGTGTGTGTGTGATGTGCAAGTGCTCATATGCTTCCGTGTGAGCATGTGTGTGCCACACTCTACATGTGGAGGTTATAAGGCAATAGGTGTTGGTTCTCACCTTCTACCTTGTTCGAGACAGTCTCTTTGCTGTTCACTACTCCATGCACCAGGCTGGCTAGCATGCAGGCTTCTGGTGATTTATCTGCCTCTTATTCCTATTGTCCCTTCAAAGCACAGGGATTACAGGTCCCTGAGTTACTTCCTGTGGCTTTTACATGGGCTCTGGCGACTTAGGTCACCTGGCTTCCATGGAGAGAGCACTTAACTTACTGAGTCACCTTCCTAGTCCTCATGACCCACATTTTACAGACTGAATAAACAAATGCATGTTGCATATTTTATGTTCTGATACTTAGGCATCCAGCTATCTAGTTCCCTTTGCCATCTTTGTCAGAAGAAAAACACGTTAAAAAATAGTGGTAGTAGCAAAAGTTTGCTTTTTTGCATGTCAAGCATTTCTGTATTCTTGACAATGTCCCATTCAATAGATGCTCTTTCTTCCAATAATACTGATCATAAAAGCAAGTCCACAAACTTTAAAGCCTTACTCAAGTATGACACAGAAGCACAAAGTTTCTGTTAGATTCTATGAGTAACTCATTCTAGCACCCAGTTTTTAATCACTATCATTTAATGTCTTTCTCCTTATCCACATATGCAAGACATTTCGCATACATTACATATTTAAACTAAAGAACTACTCCATGAAGACAAAGCTTTAATTTTTCTTTCTTGATCTTAATTGAGCTGACGCATAAAGCTGGTTGCTCAGAGAGAGTTAGGACAATTATAAGCCTCCAAGGCACTGGTAAATGCTGAAGTTTGTCAAAAAGTGAAATATTGTAAAGGCAGTTACTATTAATTTTTAAAACAATTGCTGGGTCCCGAAGCTGCCAGCGCAATGCTACATATATATTCTGCCTAATTTGATGGGGATGAACTTCAAAAACAGATTAAGTCTTTTTAGTTTTTCACCTCAAACAACGATAATTAGCTTGAAATATGGGGGAAGAGAATAAATCACAAATACTGTTATTTCAAAGACATTTCCTTTCACTGGGTTCTGATTTGCCCGTCATCTCAGTTTATAAAGAGCGATGCCCCATCTGTATGCAGGTTTTGCACATTTTGCTTAGCAATACTGTTCTTATGTTTTAGCTCCTGGACGGCAGTTCCTAAGGCTTCATTGTTTCTGAATTGTCAACTATTCAGTGATGGGTCAGAGTCTCATGCGTATATACAGCAAAGTGAAGAAAGAGCACTATGTCAAAGATGAAGAATTTTTTTTTCTTTCTAAGGTTGAGAAAAGGAGCCAGTTCAATTCCATGTGGCAGTTGAAGAGCAGGAACCCTTCAATGTCTTTTCTTGTGTCTTGGATACTGTGAGAGTTTGGATATTTGAGAAATGTGGCATCAACAAGACATGTCTATCTGATGGCTTTAGCCAAGGCTTACCCACTGCTGGCAACATAAATAGCTGGATGAGGTATATGTAAATGAAATTAACATTGGTCATGGACACTCAAAATTCACCATCAAGAACTACCATTTTTAATATCAATTCATTCCTAAAAACCCACCGGTCTTGGGCCACATCTAGAGAGCATTGAAGAAGGTCCAGTGCATTATCTGTGTTATGGTTTTGTCCAATCAGTCACACATCATATCCTTCCTAGCTGTTCACTCTAAGTCAACATTTATTTTGGTAATTAAAGAATCAGTCCTAACACCATTCAGATATTTCAGTTCACCTATGAGCATCAGTAACAAAATGCTGAATGGGGCAATATTCTCGCCCACCTGTTCTATTAGATTCCCGTGATAGCTACCGACACAGTGCTGGCATTTGGGTACTATCACGGACAAGAAAGGGAGAGAGATTGTATATGCTTTGGAGATTTACCCACCTTTTCCAAATCATAGACTTTCACTGCATGTCTTTTAATAAAACATTTCTAATCCTGGCCAAACTGCCGGAAAGAAATTTGTAATGAAAGGTTGCCTTTGTATCACTTCCCACTTTTTTTTTTAACCTCATTACTATGACAAAAAGCATATTAGTGTCTGAACATTTCATCAGTTCTGAGAACTGTAGCTGTAGGCAGTTCATAAAATGGAAATTGGTGACTGGTTGGGCTCCTCATTTGCATGTGCACCACGCCCACAATTGTTTAATTTGCATTGCAATTGCATACTTCCTACTCACCTCTTCCACATGATCTGTCTACTGGCTAAGGTGAGGTAGCTTGGCTGTTGGGGGTGAAGGGATCATCTTAGGTTCTTTGAGAGCTCATTGGGAGCTTCTTTTGCAATAGGTAAAATGAAAACACTGAAAAATATTGAATTATTCTAAAATAATATGCTTTATATCCCCTTCTTGTGTTATTTGTATTCCACCTTCAGGAATTATTTTAGGGCTTCACTGAATACATTATCTCCCTGCACTGAGCAGATGTAGGAATCGTGCCTACTATCTTATTGGATGTTTGGTGTTGAAATATATACTCCATGGTGAAGTTGATCTGTGCACATTGTGATGACAACTCAGAACAACACATTTTTCCTTCTTCCTGCTTCAGAGATCTGACCAAGTAAGTAGGGACCCCAGGGATCTGGCATTGCGGTTTATCCCATGGAGAGCCTAAACATCCAGTAAAAAGCTGGTGGCACATAACAGATGTTTAATAAATGGGACACTGGATTAAAAGGAAGACAAGTCCTATCAGGCTCCCTCAGTCTCAGCACTGTGGACATTGTGGGTCAAGTGATTCTGTGCATGGATGTGTCTTGAGCAAGGTACAATATTTATAAATACTTCTTCCTGCCACTCCCAGCAAATGCCAGTACCACCTTTCTGCAGTTGTGACATCCCCCAAAGTCACCAGACACAATCAAGTGTCACTGTGGCCACAGCATTCATAGTCTGAACTGCTGTCATGGATTACCTGCATAAGAGAAAACTCCCAGGACAATGGCTGGCTCATAATCTACATTAAATAAACATTTATGCCCAGCTCAAAGCACTGCCATCGCTGAAAACCGTATTGGAAGCTGAATTTTAAAGATGACCTTCAGACAAATTGGAGAAAGCACACACTTGAGATTTCTCAGTAAAAGGACAGTTTGATGGTCTGCAGGCCTTGTGAGGTTGGATAACTCTTTTCTCCTTCAGAATGGTTATCTGAGTATGGGCATACAAATATTAATTTGATCTCAAGCATCCTTAGTGAAAATCAGGCTCTTAATTTTTAAAAAATGTTACATGTTATAATTTATCAGCATGATTCCCATTAAATCAGTGAGGAGTCAATGAATAAATCCATACACAAGACTTGGAAACATAACCTTGACTGTGATCCACTTGTTATATTCATGAGGATTATAATGACTGCCTGCACATAGACACATTCCTCTCTTTCTTTTCCTTTAAAAATTTAAAGACATGCACGCTTAGCCAAAGGAGCTCACTTTGTCAAGAGAGCAAATAGAAAAATGAGATTACAAAGTTACTCTTGAGAATGTCACCTTTACCTCATCAGGCAGGAGCAGCCACTTCTGCAGCCTCAACCAGACAAGGGACTTTCTCCAGAGTCAGAGAATGAAGGTTGTGACTTGAAGCAGAGTGAGAAAATCTTGTGCTTCTTCCAATTAGCTGAACATATGAGAATTTCCTCAGAGAAGTCTATATGTACTACCTTAGACTGATGCCTATATTGTGCCTGGGCTTCAAAATACTTGAGAACTTTAGTAAAATAGATCAACATCATGAACACTCAAAAGGAAATCCAACCCTGTATCTTGCCCTTACATTTTACCACAATGGCAGGTATGGCTCCAAGGGACATGCCAGCAGCAGCAGCAGCAGCAGCAGCAGCAGCAGCAGCAGCAGCAGCAGAGCAACTGTTACCACTAAACAAAACTGGCTCCTACTCCAAGCTCAGTCCCTGCCACTATAAACTGTTCTACAGCAGTTAATGATCCACAGTCAGCAACCACCATTACATCCAAACTGCCATGGCAGTCATAGACACCAGTATCACAATAAATCTACTACTATTTCTGTCTTGTCCACCACAACCTCTGGAAAATGATTGTGTTGAAAATCTACATAATTTTCTAGACTTCACACTAGTGTGAAATGGATATTATAAAGCCAACAAAGTTCAATGAAGGTGTTCACTGAATACAAATTTTGGTTTACTGTTGGTGAAATTATTAAGGCAACTCCACATAGTTAAAAGGGAGGTTTATTTTGTGGGGTAACTCACAAATGAAGGGATAGGTAACAGGGTCTGGGAAAGGTGTAGCACAGTCTGGCGGTGTTCTCTGGAGAACTCTGCTTGGTTTACCTCCAGCGTCCAGGGTCCAGGAACCAAGAGAGCTAGCACATCTGGATCTTGGATCTCCAGGGTCCTCTCTTGGCCCACCTTGCAGGCGTGACAGTTAATGAAGCCTCAATGGGGGTTTGAACTTCCAGATCGAAGCTGGAATGGGTACCCACTACATCTCCCCCTATTGTCTAAATAAGAAAGTTCTAACCTAATACAAGACTATATACAAAGGAATGGTTATCAAATATTGTCAAGGAGTAATTAGGGATAATGGCTTAGATAAGATGGAACTACCACCAATGTGAACAATATTAAGCAAGAAACACATACTAAAATCCAGAGAAGTCTAGAGCATAGGTAAATGGTGTGTTACAAAGATCATTCCAAAAAGTTTCTTATCCTAAAGAACCTGAATCTGATATTTAATATGTTCTATCTAAGATATTATATATATACCAAGTTGTAACTATTACTGTAAAACGCTGATTGGCCAGTAGCCAGACAGGAAGTATAGGTGGGACTAACAGAGAGGAGAATTGAGAGAACAGTAAGGCAGAGAGGAAGATGCTGCCAGCTGCTGCCATGACAAGCAATATGTAAAGATACTGGTAAGCCACAAGCCATGTGGCAACTTACAGATTAATAGAAATGGGTTGATTTAAGATAAAAGAACTAGATAGCAAGAAGCCTACCACGGCCATACAGTTTGTAAGCAATAAAGTCTCTGTGTGTTTACTTGGTTGGGTCTGAGCAGCTGTGGGACTGGCGGGTGGGAGAGATTTGTCCTGACCATGGACCAGGCAGGAAAACTCCAACTACAGTTTACAGGGATCTACTGTTGGCAAGATTCTGGGTCCCAGGTTGATCAAAGTGCAATCACAGACTAACTACCATGAATTCCCTGATAACTCTGACCTTCATTTTCCTAGATTCTAGTCTTCCTGTTTATTGCATATGAAGAACAGTTTAAAAAATATGTAGATAGGTCTCTCTGTTACTGTTCAGGGCAACTGCAATACTACATTCTGTGTAGTACATTCAAGCCAGCAAGACATTGTACCATGTCCTAGAACTGAATGTTCAAATGGGTCCTCTCTTGGTTCCCACAGGATGATGGGCCAACTAGCAATAATTGAATTTGTCCTCTTCCGGCCAATAGGAGAGCAGTGATTAGGAGTCCCAGCACCCACACAAAAGCTGGCCATGAAGCATAGAATTTTAATTTGTACTTTGCCTTTTTTGTGAGGTTCAAAAAATGAGAATTATAAAAAGCCTAAGTTAGCCATTTTTTCAAAAACATTCTAACTCAAGATAAAAAGACTGACGGAGGATTAGGCTACAGGGAAAGCAAGCTTGGGCTTGTGTGTGAGCAATAGAAGTGTAGAGAACATCGGTGTGCAATAATAGTGTTGTTTATAACAGCAAAAAATTGGATGCCACTTATATGCCATCAGGAGGGGACTTGCTGAATAAAGCTACAGACTTCTTTATAACATACAGACATTAAAATGATGTATGCAGTCTAGGTTTGATAAAGGATGATCACTTTATAGTTAATGAGATACATTTCTAAATTGCACAATTCCTTAAAAATTTCAGTATTTCGAACTCCATAAGTACAAGGAAAACTGTTCAAAATACAGACAAAATTAGAAACTAAAGGTACCTCTTGGTAGTGGGATTAAACCAATTGTAATTTTGTCTGTCCAAAAGTTAAATAATAAATAAAAAAATTAAAGCGTAGATGGAGGGGCTACCCCTGGAGTCTAGTGATGTAGCCTTTCTCTGAAGTTCTTTTCCATAGCATGTCAAATCTGCAAATCATCTGTCCATTTCATTTACATGCCACAGGCCTCTCTACAGAGCTCCCAGGCTCCTATCTCTTCAGCCACATTACATGTTAGCTTTGATTCAGAGCAACCGGTGGTGTCTCATTAAAGTCAAATCCTCCCAGAAGGAGATGGGCTTAACTGGCAGGTGCAAAAGCCCCGTGAGTAGTGATAGCAGCTTAGGTGAGCATCACCAGAGCAATTGCCAAGCCCCAGCGACAACTGTTTTGAAGGAAACAATGCTTATCTGGACATATATCTGATTAAGTCTGGGCTAAGAAAGGCACTTTTCTGAAGCATGTAAGTGCATACACAGAAAGAGGCTGCCCGAACATGCTTCCTTTCTCCCTTCTTAAGCAGGTTTTGTATGATTTCCAAATTAAGGCTTTCCAACCTCCAGGCTTGTCTCTCAGACCCAATTTGGCTTGCTGATCTATTTTCTCCATCGGTTCTCTCTTTGAGCCCAGTGCATTCTGGGCTCATTTTTTTTCTCCTAGAGGCCTAGAGGCATCTGACTAGGATAAGTCAACAAATGAGCTTAATTGATCCTGTTGGGCCCTCATTTATGAAAGGGGAGTGAGGGGCTGCTGGCTCTGGCATCTTCCGACAATTATAATTTTTGAAAAACTCATTTCCATCTGATATTTTTTCTGCTGAAGGAATATTTACCTTTGCATTATTCAGTGTATATTGACTGTGTGATTGCAAGCATCCTCTATTGCAGACAGAGGTTTCTCCAACCTGATGTCTTTGTGCTAGAGCATCTGTTGGTGCTAACAGTAGCAGTTCTTCAAAGAGATTCAGTCATATTCAATCTCTTCTTACAGGCTCCTATATGCCAATGTCAGGACAATTCTGGTAGTGTACGACTGAAGGAAAAGACCCAATTCTAAGAGGATCAAACACTGGCCTAAGATTGCCTTGTAGAGTACTGTTCTTCAGCCAAACAGCCACTATTTTCATGAATCAGCTGTGACTGCTTGCAAGTGATTATCACAGGTGGCCTTGTTGACCGTTGGCATTCTCTCCTGGAAGGGGGCAGGAAGGGTCATGGGGCCCTCACTTGGGTATACAACTGCCTCCTCCTAGCCACTTGTGTGCAATTCTGCTCCAATTGCATGTGGTCTCTGGGTCTCAAGAGGCATAGTGTATGTTGGCTAGGGAAGACTAAGGGATTGTAGCTCCATCTACACAGCATGTAAAAGTCACCTATCCTGCGTACAGCCCTTTTAGGGGCCATTGCTTTGGGGTCACTTATGCTTG